CTTTAAAGCACAGACAGGGAAGAAAATAAACCAGCATTCCCTGAAAACCCACTGTGTGCTAGGAACCTTCCATAAGTTTACTGCCTTAACAGAAGATGCTCTATATTTATTCAAAGGGGGAAACTCTAATGATGGAAGAGGGAACCTGAATGTGTTACATTCCCAGGAGAAAATACCAAACACGTCAGGGTTTCAGATGCTTATATCCTCTGAACCAATGTGATTAGGTAGTACTTGTGACACAGTGGGTGCAGCTAAATATTTGTAGGATGGGTGACCTCTAAGGTCTCTTCCAATATAGGTTTCTGTGATCCTATAAATAACTGAGAACCAAGGGCAGCAGAGTCATCCAGAGCTCCCGGGAGAAGCACCTGCTTCAGGCAAGTCGTGTCCCAGGCACAGGCAGTTTCTCCTAAGGATGGCAGTGATTAACTCGGTCTGGAAAAAGTGCCAACAGCACAATGAAATCAAGTGGTGTGATGGCTCAATTAACAAATGCTCTGAAAATGGAGTTTCTTTATAATGGAGTTGGCTGTTCTTCCCCAAAACACACCATAAATCACATGGCTGTTGGCATGTGCGTGTGGCTCACGGTAGTGCTCTGAGAGCCTGGGAGTTGGGAGATGTCCTCATGCAACTCCCATCTGTCCACTGTCTGTGAACAAGGTCAGCCAGGGGTCTATTCTAAGGTTTTGGTCCTTGGGTCCCACTTGGTAGTGACCCTGCCCGCTGTCCTTCCATGGACACAGTACACCTGCTGCAGGCCTAGAGAGGACATGGCCAGGCCTGTCTTACTCGCCCACTCACTCCCCCACCCACTTCTATGGCATTGCCCACTCTGGCTTGGTGCTGGGGCTCTAAAGTCAAGCAAGGCATGGTCTCCATCCTCAAAGAGCTCACAGTCCCCTGGCAGCCCCTACACAGAAATGAATCCACGTAATCCCCTAGAGTTTGGGCAGTGCTGAGGCCACAGAGGGTGGCAGCATTCCTACCCACTCACGTCTTTAGGCAGCAGCTGGAACTGACACGTGAAAGATTGTCCCCGGGAAGAGGGAAAAGCCCCAGTGTCTCAGGAAGAATGAAGAGCAGGTCTGAGTACAGATCTGTCCTATGATGAACAACACCAACTGCTCTTAGGGGAAGGAGAGGCCTTCTACACATCACCCCTCACCCTAAATAGAATGGGACAACGCTTGGACAGGGCAGAAGAGCTGGCTGGGCCTGGAGTGGAACAACAGCTGCGAGAGCTGCTACTCACAGTTCTTCTCCTTCGGAAGCCTGTGCTCTGTGGCTGCCCACAGTTTACACAGAAGCTGAGTACGGCGCAGTCTTTGCTCAAAACCTCTAAGTCCCTTCCACACCGGTCACTTGTTACTGCAGCACATCTACTCCTTCCCCTTCCAGCCCACAGCAGCCTCCTGCCTTGGGAGGGACATATGGCCCAGAAGTGTCAAGCAGAAGCTCAAGGTCAGAGACTTGATGTGGCCGGTCAATAGAGAGGGAGGACTTGGGCATCAGACCTGCCCTGGGTCACAGAGGTGCAGCCCATAGGTGACAGCCCCAATGGCCAAAAGCATCCAGTCACCTGTCATCTCCATTTGGATCAACAATTGGGACTGAAGGCTTAAAACAAAGTAGAATTGCCCCAACATGGTGGACACAACAATGGGAAAGACAGGAAGTGTCCATACTCACCCAGTCCACGTGCATCCATGCCTGATGCACGGCATCACAATGGCATTCTCTAGTTGCCTAGCTGAGGTTCCACAGCATGCGTGAGGCCAAGGACGTGTGGCTAGAGAGGGAGAAGGTCCCAGGCTTGGGTGGACAGGGAACACGGAACCAGAACTGATGCCCAGAAATAAAGACAAAAGCAGAACCAAGCCAACTGAACAGAGGCAGGGGTGGGAACGGGCAAGGGCAACAGAAAAGAGCCCATGACAGGAAGGTACTGGCATCAGCCAGATGCCCAGCAGTCAGCTCAGCATACTGCACCCTACTCCATAGGAAGGCAGGCTTTCCATCTGGAGTATCAGGCAGGGGAAGGCTGGGGCTGGGGAGATGAGGACCTCAGCAATAGGTGAGGAGGGAGTATGCTGCAGGGGACCAGGCAGTGACAATAGCTGCTGCCACTCTGGGGTCTTTTCTCCATGTTCACCCACCTTGTGGAGCAGCTGGAGGCATAGGAGCTGATCTACACCCGGGCTGTTGGTTTTACAGGTTGCAGCTTACCAGGTTGAGAGAGGGTCCAGCAGGGCTGAGATGGTGTAGGGACTACCACCCAGTACACTGCAGTCCAGTTCTCCAGGCAGGAAACTGACTCCCTACCCTAATCCCTAAGTGCCAGTGACAGCAATTAAACAACTGAGGCCCATCCTACCTCCCCATTCCCCAAGGCCTTCTGCTCCTCCACATGACACTTCCTTTTGCAGGATAAGGCTCTGCCATAGTTCTCTGGTGCCACAGTAGGAGTTCTGGGAGAGCTCTGGGAATACCAGACACTAGGGACCGTGGAAGGGGTAGCCCAGATCCTCTGGCTTGATCTCTGAATTCCAGTGGTACCCCATGGCCTAGGTTTTCATTTCCCACTTTTTAAGTGTCTCTATACTTTGATGGCTCTCCCACACCGAGCCTAAATGAGCTCTATTCTGCAGCTAGGGGCTTAGCCCACCCTCCTACACCCATCTGATTTCTCATGGCTGTCTCATTTGGCTCGGACTCCACCACATTCTCACAGCCTTCAGGAACTGCAGAGCCATAACGATACAGTGGCTGACATTTTGACAAATTACTAAAAGCCCAGCTAGTAGGACTAAAGCACTTGCTCTAAGAAAGTTGTTTTATCTATATTTAAGCCCAATATGTCCTTGGATAACTCGACTGACAAAAGTACAAACCCATCTAAGGATGGCAGACGAACTGACAGAATCTACAGATAAAAGAAAGCAGGTCATCTTGACTCCTCACTCCTATCTGAACATCCTGGAAAGAGTCCAGGCAATTTCAGCTCAGGAGCACAGAGGAGAGAAGTGGCAATTACAACTGCGGCATCACCATGTCTCCCAAAATAAAAAAATAATAATAAAGGCACCTTTCAGATATTCAGTCATCAAACACAAGGTGCCTGCCTACTGTGTACCAGGTACTTGCACACTTCCTTACTGCTCACCAAACCCTGGGATGTGCTATCATCCTTCTTGCTTTAGTGGAAAGACCAGTTCCTATGTCTCTTTGGACATGTTCAGCAGACCAGTGATTGCTATCTAAAAGGAAAGACATAACACACTACCCGAATGACATGTTTCAGAACACACCCTTCTACCAGCCAGGGAAAAGCCTGTTTCAACCCGATGAGCTGGGAACTTGTGTCCAAAGAACTGGGCATCAGTCCCAGCCTGCCAAGCCTCCCTAGCAGCATGACTTTAGCCGGGTCACTGCCTCTCCTTAGGCCTCAGCTGTAAAATGAGGACTTCTGGGCTCCTCTCCTGAGGAAGAAGAAGGGTTGGGGAAAGACTAGAAGGAAGAGGAAGAGGATCACAGGGCCAAGCTGCCTTTATCTGAGTCTCCACGGTGGGGAGAGCACAAGGAGGCACGTAGAGAACATGGGCTGAAGGGGCCTCACCAAGAGATCAGGAAGCATCAGCAGGCTCTTGTGCCTTCCCTGAGGGATATTCCAATGGGTGCTATGCTCATGACGTGGAGGGAGATGCCTCCACCCAGGCCCCATTATATTTGCCCAGCCCCCAACTCCCCTGCTTTCTATTCCTAGGAAGGCTGACCTTGACAGAGAAGTCTGGACAGGCTGCCAAGTGGGAGATGTGGAGGCCAGTTAGAAGGCTACTGCCAGAGTCCAAGCAAGATCGTGCCAGGATAAGAGTTATGACCTTAAAACAGAAGGCATAAATGGAAGATACTTCAAAGGCAGATTCATTTTGACAAACTTAAAACAAAACGACTCTGTGTTTTGTTTCATTGCTTAGCCCAAATAGTTGAGAAATAAAAATGGAGAGGTAGCTTAGAGGACAAATAGGAGAATTCCGCTTGAGATTGATTGAATTTCAGGTGACAGCAGATAACCCATGTAAAAATGTCCAGCAGATGAACATAGATTTAAGACAGAAAGAGACTATAAATCAGTAGGTTTATTTTTTTTTAAAGACTTGGCGATATTTCTGCTGGCATCCCTTCTTAATTCTGCTCCCACAATAACATGGTAAAAATATCAAGACAGAATAACAAAAGTATCAGGAAAGAAAAATACTTCAAAACCATTTAATAAAATACAAGTCCATGGAAGGTTGAGGTGGAAGGATCGCTGGAGCCCAGCAGGTCAAGGCTGCGGTGAACCGGGAATGGCCACTGAACTCCAGTCTGGGCGACAGAGTGAGACTCCAACTCAAAAATAAAATAAAATAAAATAAAATACAAGTCCTATGCCTAATGACATACCAAAACCAGACTAGATACAATATCCAAATGCTGGCAAGGATGCACTAATTGGCATTCTCCTACATGCTGGAAGAAAGAACACTTCTGGAAAGCAATTTAGCAATATGCATCAAGAGCCATAAAGTGTTAATATCTTGCCCTATCACATTACTTTCAGGAATGTATCCTAAGGAAATATTCAAAAGAAAGCAATGGTATGTGACGAACAATTGAGAATATTTGGTACATGAAAATGCTCATTATCTATAATGGCAAAAAATTGGAAGCCACTTAAATATCCATCCACAGGGGAGAAATTAAGAACACTGTAGGCTCTTGGTGGAATTATTATATGAGCATTAAAATGTTATTTATGAAGACAGTGTGGTAACAGGGAAATCTTTTTTTTTTTTCACTTGCCATCATTTTAAATGAAAAAATAACAGGATATGTGATTATACAGACATTATGATTAAAACAGTAACTTCTGTGTTAAGATGGCAGGATTTAGGGAACATCTTAGAGGAAAAATAAGTGACTGAGAATGTTAAAATCAACCAGTGAGGTGGTACCTTGGCTCCGTCCACACTGATGATCCGATAGCTGTTCCTTGTAACATCGTAGAAGTAGGAAACAGTGACCGCTTGTTTGCTTGCAGGCACCCAGTTCTTCTTGGTGCTGGGGTCAATCTGGAAGACGTGCGCTCGGGTGGTGAAGATGGGCTGTTCTCTGCAACAGGAGAGTGGGCGTGTGAGTTGATAGAACATGACTTAATGTATGATTTATGGTTTCTAGGCCACCTACTGCCCCAAAAGACTTTAAATAGCTTATAGGGAAAGATAAATATGCATGAGGACAATTAAAATATGAAAAGGGAAGAGAGGAGAAAAAAGACAAATGAAAGAGTAGTTTCTGCAGCCCACACTCCATTTAGCTGTTATCATCCTGAGGCTGCAAGGCAAGTGGCCTAATGAGCAATTTGCTTAAAAGGCAACTCCTTGTTGAGTGTTTTGCATCCCTATTAAGTGTCCCATTCTTTTTCTGACATTCTGTTGGTATTTTTAGAATTTTGGAACCAATTCTTTTTTTAAAGATTTTGCAACAAATTTATTTTGGGGGCTTCTGCAACAATTTTAGGATTTTGCAATCCATTTGCAGCTTAATATTATATATCTATTAAGTACTTTTCAAATTTGCAACATTTTGTGAATGATGGAATTACTTTATATCCTTGTGGGTATCTCTTTAGTCAACTCTTTGAACCACCACTTAACCAACTGACCGAGCCTTTAACTTTTATATTTCCATCTTACGAACCTTTTGAGTTTTATGTAGAATTCATCAAATCTCTTCTGCTATTTTTGCCTCTCTATATTATAGTTGTTTTTTTCACTTCATATGCCTGTAAGCTCTTTATGTGATTACTAATCAAATTAGCATACTACCTATGTTTCTTCTGTTGAATGGGGGAATTAATTAGATCTTGACAATAGGCATTAAGAAACAAGGCAGATGAATAAAAATTGTAATGAATTTTACCGCATTGCATATTTTAAGATTATCTACTTCACAAAGTAACACAAAATGGAACACAGACTCATCATACAATATATTTATTTTTATTTTTGAGTCGGGGTCTCACTGTTGCCCAGGCTAGAGTGCAGTGGTGCAATCACAGCTCACTGCAGCTTTGACCTCCTAGGCTCAGGAGATTCTTCTGCCTCACCATCTCAAGCAGCTGGGATGACAGGCACACACCACCTGGCTGTTTTTTTTTTTTTTTTTTTGTAGAGACAAAGTCTCACTATGTTGCGTAAGCTAATCTAGAACTCCTGGGTTTAAGCGAGCCTCCTTGCCTGGTCTTCCAAAGTGCTGGGATTATAGACATGAGCCATCGTGCCCAGCCATTTACTTATTTTTGAAGAAAGTGTCTTTAGGCAAACTGGCTCAAAAATCTTTTAAGTATTCAAAATAAGATAAAAACAGAAAAAAGTCACCAGCAGCATGTAAAAACAGTCCCATTACTCATGCTATAGATATGTAATAAGTGCTTATTAGAGATACAAAACTAGATCATAAGGTAACTTAGACAAATTAATTTTTAAAATCTTTACAGTGTCAAAAGAGAAGACACAAAATAATAGGACACCTAAATGGATACCAAAAACCCAAAAAGGAAAAGTAATTTTTAAGTGTTCTGGTGTCTAGATGGAGTGGTTTTAGGCAATGCAGTCTTTGAATTCATCCTGACTGCAGAAAGTCGTTATGAGAAATAAAGTACTTAGGAGACAAACTTCCTAGAAAAGCATTTTACCATTTGAGCCTCATGCAAGGGATACTGAGTAACACCATGGATAGCAGTATCAACCATCAATTGCAGTTTTAGAAAAATGCAGAAACCCTCATGACTATTTCTCCAAGGGCATGCTATTAATGCTACTTCAATATAGCTGTTTTCAGAGGCCAGTGTTCCAGAAAAACGGACAGAGATGAGTATTCCTTGCTTCCTGAAACTTCCCTTCTAGGTCTGCTGGAGCAGGACAAGTGTCTCTGGGGATGTGAATTACTAGGACATTTTGATTCCCTCAACAGAGACCAAGTTCAAATCCACTCAATTCTAAACCAACACTCCTCCAGCAGCTGGGTGACAGTTGTTGGAAACAAAAGGAATATTGTCACTCTAATTTCCCACATCTGTTGTCAAGAAAGGCCAGCCTGTGGGGAGTGCATGTGCATACAAACACAAGCCCTCATAACCAAGTCCTCGCGGATCACCCGGCTATGCCACTGCCAGCCCAGCACCACATTTTGCCAATCATTCAAGTATAACACCACAAAGGAAAACACTTCCTCACAGGGTATTCTTTTTTTTTTTGAGTTGGAGTCTCACTCTGTCACCCAGACTGGAGTGCATGGCCGCTCCTGGCCACCGCAGCCTCGACCTGCTGAGCTCCGGCGATCCTTCCGCCTCAGCCTTCCAAGTAGCTGGAACTACAGGAGCGCGCTACACGCCTCACACGGTATTCTCTTGCAAACATAAGAGAAAGGAGTGATGTCAAGGGTAGTAACTACAGAAAAATTTCTGAAGAATCAAATTACGCTAAAGTCTCTACCTATTACAGAGGGCTGAATGGGCTTAACCAGGGCCCACATATCAGAGAAGAGCCCTCCCTGGGAAAGGGGCCCAGGCTTTCAGATTGTCCTGCCCATTCCCCACACCAAGGAAGAGGGACTGGGTCTCGGTTTTCACACACTTAGACCAATGTTTCCTAAGTCTCCATAATAAGAATCAGCTGGGACTCCTACCAAAAATGTAAGTTCTCAGGCCCCATCCTAGCCCCCCCCTCGAACCTGGCCTCTCCAGGGAAGAGACCCAAGAGGCTCCATTTTAAGTAAGAGCACCAGATGATTTTTATCCTCAAGAAAGCTAGGGAGGCACTTGAATTAGACATTATCAGATTATCTAAAAAAATGAAAGAAGGGATGTCCCTACCTAGCCAGTATCTCTCCTCTAGAATGACACATATGACTGTGGGTGACATAGAAAGACTCCAGAAAGTTCACCCACAGCTCTGGGGGCAGGTGGGGCAGGGGGAACATCAGAACCAAGAAGAACAGGATACCTGGATGCAAAGAATGGGGTAGAGAAAGAGGTGAAGGTCAGGACAGAGGGCAGCCTGTAATGACCAAGCAGTGTCCTTCTGCAAGTATTCTCTGTCCCTGAAGCCTTTAGGAGTGAGGAAGTGAGGAAAGCAAAGTGGAGAGAGAGAGAGGAGGAGGGACAGGGAGACCAGAAGATGGTAGAGCATCCTGACCAGGCAGAGGCAAAGCAGCCAGCCATCTGTTTGGCATGATTAGGGTGAGAAGATAAAAAGGGCTCCATCTCCAAATCTGCCTGCTCAGCTCTGCAGATAAACCAAAGTCATCATGGGCTGCCCTTGGGACCCTAGCCAGAAATGCAAGGATGTTGGGAGAGCACGGTGGCTCAGCTGGTGACACTCTTGGTTACCATGGTCAGGCCCTCTGCAAGGGAAGTGGCTACTCTGGCGTTGAGGGTGTCCCAGAGACGTGGGAGGGGCACTGTGGTCCTGTCAGCCCCATTCAGAGGGTGGTCACCATGGCAGGGAGGTATGAGGTCAAAGACCTTGCCCAGAGGCCCTGAGCAAACAGGGGAGGATCTGCACAGCCAGTCTGGCAGCAGTTTTTTGCCCAGGACATTATCTACAGCACTGGAATGTTCTCAGTCTGAGTTCCATGCTGTTCTTCTTTTAAAATCCAAAAGGTCTAATGGCATTTCAAGAAAAGGCAAAAAAAGTAAAAGTAAAATACAAAATAAGGCAAGAATGAAAAAGAAAAGTGGCTCATGCCTGCAATTCTGGCACATTGGGAGGATTGTTTAAGGCCAGGAGTTTGAGACCAGCCTAGGCAACACAGCAAGAGCCTGTTTGTACAAAAAAATAAAAAAAAATTAAAACTTAGCTGGGTATGGTGGCATCCACCTGCAGTCCTAGCTACTCAGGAGGCTGGGGAAGGAGGATCACTTGTGTCCAGGAGTCCAAGGCTGCAGTGAACTATGACTGCACCACTGCATTCCAGCCCAGGTGACAGAGTGGACCCTGTCTTTAAAAAATTAAATAAATAAAATAGTAGCTGACATTTCCTGAGTGCTTACCATTCAACTAGGCTCTCTCTCTCATTTAGGACTACAACGATCCTACAGGGAAGGTGCTGTAGAAGTAGAGAAACCAGGGTTCAGAGAGGCCAGGTAACCTGCCCTGGGTCACAGAGTAAGTGATAGATCTCAGATTTGATGTCATTTCTAAGTAACATGGAAACCCTCACCCTTAACCGTTATGTTATACTCTCTTCCTTAAATAATAGCTGCCTGTGGTAGGCAGCTTTGGATGTGGCTCCTGCTGATCCCTACTTCCTAGTGTTTATGCTGTTATGTAATCCCCTTATGTGGGTAGGACCTGTGACTTGTTTTTAACCAACAGAATATGGCAAAGATGACAGGATATTATTTGTGTGATTAAGTTCCATAGGATTGTGACTTCTCTTTCCTCATAGACTGTCAATTGACTCTCTTGCTAGCTTTGATGAATCAAATTGTCATATTGGGGATATCCACATTGTAAGGAATTGAAGGACTCTAGTCAACTGCTACACAGGAATCGAGGCCCTAGAGGAAGTGAAATTCTGCCAACAAGCACGTGAGCTTGGAAGCAGATCTTTCCATAGATGAGCCTTCAGAGGAGATTCCAGCCCTGGCCAACACCTTGATTACAGCCTTGCAAGAGACCCTGAAGAAGAGGGCTCAGCTAAGCCATATTCCTGACTCCTGACACATGGAAAAGTGTTTTGTGTTAAGCTGCTACATTTGTGGCAATGTATTACACAGCAGTAGATAATACATTGTCCTCCATAGAAAGTTTATTACATACCAAGCAGACTGCATATTTAATAATCCTGACAGGGCTCTGAGTAGGCAGTATCATCCACACAGAAAATCGAGGGTCACAGGATGATTTCAAGCAACAACCTGGACAACAAATCTGGACATCTTTTTTTTTTTTAGCAAAATCAGAGTACTTTACAAACTTCACCACAAAATTCAGAAAAGTAGACACTTGCTTTGAAATAGTATTTTGCCCCACCTGAGAAAGTAAAAGAACTGGAAGTAGGACACAGAAGTCAGTTCCTATAAGTGTGTAAATCAGTATC